GATCTTCTTTTGGCTTAACTGAGTCTATATAAGAGGTAAGTTAAAGCCGCACAGTCTTCTTGGCCTAGTGTTAACGTTTGACTTTTACAAGAATGACACCCAGCTCTGATGCTGTCCATCATATGATGGACGAAAGCTCAGCACGTTATCACCCGAAAGGAGGGAGAAAGTCCCGAAGACTGCGTCAACATCAATATCGTATAAAATCCAACCGGCTGCAGTATAACGAGTTTCATCCGTCCTCATCTGGTGAGATCGACCCACGAATCTCTTCTTCATGCACTTTCATACGAAATAAAGGTCCCCACAACAATGTAATTTAAAACAGATGCCTGCTTCAGTGGCAATCCACCTATTAAAAATTTGACATACGAGGTCAAGCTTATCTTGAAATTCCCCATGATCAATTGACTCCTGTGCCCGTGAGGCGTAGTGACAACATAATAAAATTATAAGCTGCTCTACCTGGCTTCAATTCCATTTGGAGGTGGTAATAGGACCTTGGCGCAGTCGAAAATGCGGTCTCTCCTGACTGGATGATAATAACTTTTGGGAAGCAAGGATAAGCAAAATTCACTTGCTTCCTGAGACCTACTGACTTTATTGTGGAAAAACGCTTATCATTACTTCATCACTTTAAGCGACCCAGGGAGTAACAAAGCCTTTATTTAAGATGCACTCATAGTCAGAAAAACTCAGTTAATTTGAAGGCAAAAAAACACCTATGAGTATGAATTGTGTTAGCGAAAGCCACGGCCTCATTTTTCTGCCAATTATAGTATGCATACTAATAAAAAAGAAAAAAAAATTTCGTAATCAACACAATAGAGGTTAATGTGTTCAATTAGAACTACGTATTTTTGGTTCATAGACATAAGAACAGGAATAGGGTTGAATCACTTTTATAAATAGGACTACGCAATTAATCCTTTTGGTATGAAAATTCACTAACAGTCTTTCATTATCTGAAGTAACCTATGGCGACTAAAGCTCTTGTTCATAGGCAGTTTTTGTTCAAATTTCATAATAGCATTAAGTAGTTGGATAAATGTAATTGACCTAGTACAAAGAAAGATGCGCATTCAGTTAACTGGAGGAGTGCCAATTAACATCCTTTAAATGTCCATAGCATATGGCCAGCAGTGTATGTGAATGCATACATCTGGTATAATGCTGTTGATCTCGATTATATATTTTTTATTTAGGCCTTTATTGCATGATTTAATGCTATTTATCAGATTAGGTTAATCTGATTAAAAATACCACTATTCATCATATATATTGCTATATCAGAGAATGCACATAAATAGCTCGCTAAATCTGTTATCTTTGAATCTTAAAGCCAGCCTGACAACGCTTTTAATAAATCACATATTTGGGCTGGCAAACATGATCATTAAATGAATGCCGCAGACTTTGTATAGGAATTGATCATGCCCTCACCCACTCCTCCTGAGCCGATCGAGTTCTTATCCCCGACACTGCCAGTAACTCGCCCAATCGGACCAACACCAAGGCGCATCAGGTTGCCAGCCGAGAAGGGGGTTCCTCCATCCGACCAAAGAGAGGCTGCTTTCAGGGCCAGATTCACTTGATGTTGAAAGCCGTGAGGGCCAATCACGAGACCGGAAGGTCCAGAATGACTGGCCATGCGGCTGGTACGAGCCATTTGATGGTGATTATTGTTGTTCAAGCGTGAGCTAATGTGGTTGCCTCGAGTCAGCGACCCAGAATTGGTACCACTGGCAGCAGTAGCAGCAGCAGCTAAAGCCATAGGTGATGATGCCATCCTGGCGGAAGCCACATCAGGAAGCACTCGAACCGATGGTCCACTAGTAGCATTTAAAGTTGATTGTTTCATAAAGCCTTCATTGACCTGACCTACAGGGCCTGAGATGTAGGCCTGGCCATCACCAGCACGTTGGCCTTTATGCGGTCGGAATCCATTATTGCTTGGGCTGATGGAGGCAAGGCCGATACCGATGGTACTGCCGCTCAAACCGCCACCACTGCCGTAATTAGAAGTGGTCGCAGTATTTGCAGCCTCAAACACATGGGCCCAGTCAGTATTGATGATCTTGGAGGAGCAACCTCGATTGTTGGTTCTCTTCAAAATGTGACTGCTACCCGACGACCGGTTGTGGCCAGAGAACCCGGCAGCAGTAAAGCATTGTGACCAATTGCCCACTTGTTGACCAGTCTGCAAGTTCAACCGCCGGCACTCGAGTCCAGTGTTCCCTGGCCAGTCCAGCTCCATACTGGCGCTCTTCTCAGGCAGCCTGATTTCATTTTGTGCATCTTTAAGTGCCATTGTCAACTGGCGAGTATGAAGAAAAAATGCAACTTATCCACTGTGTCTAACTGTAGGCATATCCTATCTGATAACATTTTTACAATTTGGCGTATCGACAGAGCGACTTAATTAACGAAATTTGCCAGAAGTCCTCTGCTATACTAGTTATCACAATTCCCAGCTTAGGAGCGTAGACTTGGTGCATTACCAGACGTTTCGCCGGTATCGTACTCGGCATCGTCAGTAGGACTTGCCATTCTCAGTACCAAGCTACAAGTCGTCAAAAACTTGACTTCGCTTGTTTCTTTGACAAATTGTAGCTTGGTGATGAGGATGGCCAGACTCACTGACGATGCAGGCAAAACGCCTGGGAATGTACCAAGTCCACGGTCAGATTCTGGGACCAGTGATAACTACTATAGCAGAGGACTTCAGAAAAGATACGACCAACTAAGTTACCTTAAAAACACGACCAAGTTGGGAAAATGCGGTCAGAAGTGTTGGGTGAAGAGATTCGAAGGTCGGTTCCACCAGAAGACGACGGCGAATTCCTCTTGACCAG